AAACAACATAAAAAACGACGGCCAGGGCTTGATATGGATCTCTTGGTTATCTCAAAGCAGGAAAGCACTTAAAAAAAAACTCTAAGTTTCACTTACTTATCTCACAATTGCCTCCTTGAAATTCTGGTGGACAAGTGCATTTGTAACCACTAGTAAAGCTAGTACAGTTACCATGGTTACTACATGGAGAGCTGACGCATTTGTCGACAACTGAAGAGTAAAGTACCACAGTAAGTCCAAAATCAGGTGATAACGTTCCCACTTTAAATATAATGATAAGGATAGTACTTTGGTGATCTTTGATCTTTTAACAGGAACTTAACAAAAATTAGTGAATAAATTGAGTCCTGAAACTATCATCGGACCAAAGTGTTGACAGTCTCCATACAGAGGCAGTATTATAAACCATGTTGAATTCCTCACCATAATCTTGACGACTATTTTTGTGCACAGTTTAACTCTTACTTTTTTAAAATATGAAAACAGTGAAATTGGATCTAACGTGTTGGTAATTAACATCATTATTAACTATATGTGACGTCATATCTAAGACCGTCATGTGTTGAATACTTATCTAGACTTTGCGATCTTTATACCAACCTATCTGTAACGTTTTGGGGCTTACAAACAAACACAAAACAAGGTCACGGGTAAAAAACCCACATGGATAAAATGGTTCGTTTAAAGGAAAACCTTGCCTTCACATATTCTCTTTGCCAAAGTGAGGTTAAAATTCTGTGATAAATCCATCGTGTTTGTGGCCTGTAGCAAGTGGTGGTCGTTGGGATTTGAAGCGATTTCGCTTAATTGACCCAGAGATACCTGGCTGCCAATAGCCACAGAAAACACAGTCACGTTGGAATTTTTTAAGTTGATTGCTGGAATGGCAACGTCGTCATCGGACTTCTGTGAAGTGATAACGACAACGATGGTAACAGCATCCATTCGAGAGTCATTGCTATTTAGCCAATCTTTCACTGATTCTAGTGATTTACCCAAGAACGCTTCCGAGCTGTTTGGGAAACGCGGCGCTGTTGCATTATTTAGGTCGTCTTTTGTTTTATAGGCCTTCGTCTCATTTCCAGCCAATGTGGTGATCCAGGTCTTATTGGTTGCCACGTCAAAGTTGGCCGATAAGTTATAGATAAAGCTGAAAATATTTCGGAAGTTGGCCTTGCCTAACTTGTAGGATCCCTCCACAGCAAATACGACATTCATTTCTGTGGAACAGAGGGCTGAAAAAAATAAAAATATGTGATGAAAAAAGATTAGGACGAAAAGTCGCGAACGAATGGAATGCCTTATCGCTTCAAGCCTAAGGGCTTTTAAAGTACGCATCTCACCTCACCTCTCCCCTACCCCTCTCCCCCCTCCCTTCGAAGTTGAATACATCTCGATTTATGTCGAAAACCGCAAAACTTTAGCAGAAAAAAACCAAGATATTATGCGTCACAGTGGTAACTCAGATCTGACGTCATTGCCCAGCGGTGCTGATCATTGTCTCGTTGCAATTAAGGGTCCGTTGATGAAGCGAGACACTGAAAACAAGATTTTGTCGATCGACACAGCAGCAGCTCTCTCAAAGATTTGATAAGGCAAAGAATTGAAAACATCTTAGTAGGGTGCTGTGGTAAGTGACTTAGATTTTGATTTATTCGCCCGCACGCATAGTTTCATCTGTGCGTAGTTGTTACGTCGCTTCCGATATAAAGCCATTCGATTGGTTTTAGATCTGGTTGAGTCATTTTTATTTGAAGTAGTTAATGATCCATATCGCAATGCAAAACGCATAAAACAGATCGGAAAGAAAGCTTTGGAGTAAACATGATGTTTTAGATATATTCAAAACTATAAAAAATCATCCAAGGATAACTTTGGCTTTCACTTAGTTCAGCTTGAAGTTCATGTAAAGTCACATTTATCAGGAAATATGTCAAATTCTTTTGGTCATTAAGGCTTTGCGTAGTGCAATACTGATTCAAATCGAGTTTATAGTTAAAATATACGGTTTATTGCAACAGCTTGTTTGTTTTTTTTTTGTCCTCATTACATGTACTTTCCTCTTATTTCTGTCATTCGTATCGAGATTTTCAACTGACAAATAAACGTTTCCTTTGCAATCTATATTTAGAAATCAGTTGAGAGAGCGTAAAGTTTGCGATTACGGAATATTTAATCGATACATGGTGAATTGAGTGACATGATACACCATCAATTTCTTCTAGTCCTCTCAAAATGGAAAGATATCATTAAAAATAAGAATCTTGTATCGCCATATGCCGCAGTATTTATCCTATTAACCACTACCAATCGTTCAAAAAGAAACAGGTCAGTTCCTTACAAAGGAACAACCGTACAGGAATCTTCTGGGCATTTCGTCGATTATGAGTACCTTTTAGAGTCTATTTTCTGTTAGCGGACGTTACACTCTGTTTGTTTTAACATAATTTACATGTATCACTCAGCCAGGCTCTCGTAACAAACCAACTCAAACACACCAAAAGAACGAAAATGTTGTGTGTGCTATTCACACAGCATGAACTTACCTTCGCTATTTATAGACCTGATCCATGTAAACACTAACAAGTTAATTGTCAATAGCAATAATGATCTCCTTGAATTGTTGTTGTGGGCCATTTTTCCCAGGTTGGGTTAAAAAGAAGCGCAACGGTCTCCCTTTGCTGACTGGCATGTAATGTGGCTATCGAAAGTGTATTCAGATCACAAATATCATAAATCTGCATATCCACTTATTTTTATCACAAAAAAAATCAAAGGAAGTGTCGTCACGAAACAAACAAAAACAAACGGAAACTTCATGTTACAAAGACATCGATATCAGACCAAATAGTAACACAAAATATAACACTTTCTTAAGCTATACAGCTCCAAGGAAATCTTAAACTTTTAGTAATTAGAATTCTCATAGATTCTGACCGATAATCATAAGTAAAAACATCAGAATGGTTCACCCAAATGGTTCCTTTCTTCTTGTGGCTCTCAACCCACATTGTTTTTCCGGTTAACTGAACTGTGCAATTAATATCTGGATCGTCATAGGCCTGTTTTAATAAAAACCGAGAGAAACCACGAAATGGTTTGTATTTTTTCAAGTTTGTAATTTGTACTCTGAGTGAATCTTCTCCGTTCTTAATTTTCTTCGTTCCCTTCTGACCTACTCTTGTGTCTTTAACATTCGTCCGTCCTTACAAATTACTATTTTGATTAACGGCAGTTTCGACAATAAAACTGTCGTGACGTGGATTAGGAGTGGTTCAATGTCTTCGCTCACCAGGTCACAGGAACAGTAGCTATGAACGAAACAATAACCTACTCCACGAAACAAAGTCCTCTCAGAAAGGCTACGTGAGGATAGACGATATGATAAGTACCATCGCTACCATTACTAAGATGGTATCTTGATAAATTTTCATTCAGTATCAAAAAGGTAACATAATTAAAAATGTTCTTGAGTTATTATAGGAAGCGCCTTGAATTCCAATATTCTCTCGTACAATTAACAAAATGTTAGTCAAGTTTGGAGGAGGTTATTCATTGCAATTTTCAGTTCAAGTTTTTCTATTTCCTGTTTCGAATGCGGAGGAGTGAATCAAAGCAGCGTTCTTATAATAGTCCATTTGACAAGTCTTGGCAAGGTTAAGGGTGCCCTTGTTATGATAAAAAGGTTGGTGCTTTTTTTCAAATGCAAATTACTTTGTTATCATGCTAATTAGATACTGATCTCTTATCACAACAGGGTCGCCTTCAGCCTCCAGCCTCACTCTAATTCAAAGATTTAACATTAAAGTACACAATTGTTAAATGGCCTATTATTGGAGGCACGGCTGACAGAAATTCCCTTTAATTTTCCTTTTTATCTTCTTGTATCTTCTTAAGTACCAACAAAAGAAGTTGATAGTTCACCTTGCTTGTTTTGTGGCTTTTCATTGCTGAGCCTATTGTGAGCCATGACGTTAACGAACTTATACGTGCCGAAGAGACAAGAGAGAGATCCTTAGGACCAGCCTGTATAATTATCATAGAGGTCTATCGATCATGAGACTGGCATGCATAACACATAATGTTGATGACCATTGGATTACGAAGCAAATTACACTTTCTCGAGGAAACGTTTGATGATTAATCATTAGCACAAGAATCTACTTAAATATTAGTTTATTATTCATTCTTATTTTATAAGAATACAAAATTTGATTAAATTAAGGTTTTCTAAAAGTATGCTACATAAAACCCAGGTTTTGAGCTTCTCATTGCCGCGCTGTCTGCACCCAAATAACGATTACAAAATTTATTTTTACGGTCTTAAACAAACGAAACAGGATCTTACGATCGGAGCCAAGCTGGTATAAAAGTCACGACCAAATTAGCCCAGTCTATATCGAATAAATCATACGCCTACGACATACGACATACGATATATGACATAACATACTGTATCTATGATTTTAAACAAATAGAATCTTAAAGCAAGATAATTTGGTTTTATCAACTGAATTAATCTAGTAAATTGGTCACCACAAAGAGGTTCTAAAGTAATTACCAATTCTCATTACAAATTCAGTTCATAAAATCAGATTACCTTGTGATACCCCCACAGAAGCAGCACTACAACTTCTCTAGAAACTCCAGTTCTCCTTTCACATCTTAAAAACAACTCGGCTAACTTTCTAAAAAAAATACTTACATGTCAGCCTAACATATTATGGACCGCCTGGCGAAACAGAGGCTCGCTTACGCGGTCGGTGCTGTCAGGGGAGAGCTCGAGAAGAACTCCGCTTTTGAAACTCCACAACAATCTCTGTATTTCATGCTTCAGGCGAAAACATGTTTTCCCCAACTATCGCGTGATTTTCACTCACGTGAGCCTCGGTAGGAAATCTAAAGGTTTACCGAGATGTATTCTCTATAGATTCTATACAACAACAGTAACTGTAACAAACGTCGGAGCAGTACAGTCCAAGACTTTATCCAGGGTACGATGAATAACTTGTGAAAATTCAAAGGAATGGGAAAACTTGACTCTTCTTCCTTTGTATCTCTTCCAACGTCGTCGTTCGACGATCAAAGCTAAAAATCTGAATGAGAGAAAAATGAGTCAGAAAAACGCTTATTTCCAAGAATCCAGGAATGTGGAACATGTGATATTTTTATTGCTTTGAGCCAAATAGAGCTACATCTCGCTATTTGCATTAAAACCTATTTGTTACCTTGTTTTCGAACGAGAAAATTCCATCTTCAGTTGTCGGTTGCGGAGAAAATGTAAGTGTCCGCCTCTTTTGTCCATCGGATGGCTCTTCAGGGAAGAAAATGTTGTCGTAAAAATCCTCATACCCCTCGTTATCACTGTCACTGTCTTCGTTATCGTCGTTGTCATCGTCTTCTTCCTCTGACATCTCTCGATATCGCGGTAACTCATAGAGCCCTTGCTTTCGTCGTCTCTCGTCGAGTTTGCTCACGGGATAAACACTTTCATAAAACCCATTTTCTCTATGAACCTCCCCCGGTACTACCTCTTTTCCGTTCATCTCCACACTCAGCGTTTGTACCTCAAAAGCTGAGGGTAGATTCTCGTAGATGTGTTCGTATTCTTCATCATTCAGACTCTGGTAATCCTGCTCTTCTCCTTCCTCTTCACTTTGTTCTTCCTCCGCATCTCCATCGTAAGACTCGTACGCTTCGTTCCAGATTCCAATGCGATTCAAGGCAGCTGGTTTATCAGGGCCCATCTCTATGGCCACAGTCTGCGACTCATATAAGGGCAGTTCAAAGGGGATTGTTTGGTAGGTTCCTTCCTCTTCTTCCATGGTTGAGTAACCTTTCATTTTTCGTAAAGATCGATACCTGTTCAAAGATTCAAAAATCGGTATTCGATAAAAAGGATAATCAATTTCTTTAAAACACTCCGCGACGAGCTACGCGGCTTGAGCTACAACAAGGATAATTCAAATATATACGTATTCATTATGAGACTTCTACATGAAACTGAAATGATGGACCATACAACACTCTTTCCCCAACAAGGATCTCGTCATTGAAAAATCAGCTTTTCGAAATTCGGTGCTGAGGTTTACATACTTTTACTAATCTCTAACTGATATCAGCCTTATTTTTGTCTCTCTATGCAACCGCAACTCTACAACGATATTCTTAGAAACTAATGACATTGTGCATGATCCTTTTTACGTGCAACATGACATACTAGAGGACATACAGGAAATTGTATATATTGCACCAAACTAGCTGTCGCAAAATGAAACGCAAATCGTTTTCACTTACCGAAGGTAGCGAACAAGGAATAATAATGAGCCACCCAAAAGGAGTACACCAATAACTGCCGGAATAACTAAAATTATAAGGCAAAATATTCAATCATATAACGGAAAAACTAGATAAATTCAAGGTTGATTTCAAATCCATATCTGCATTGGTTTTGCTTTATTGTGTTTGTACTAAGAAGTTTGTACTTCCCTCTCGACCAAACAGATCTAAGAATAAAACTATGTAAGACTTGCATTGATTATCCTCGTTTTCACGCGTCTTAAACAATTTGCTTACTTAAACTTTGAGTTGCCAGTTACTACTAATGTTACTGGTTCTTCATTCTAATTGGCCGTTGTGAATAACTTTGGCTTGGTTTATGGAACGCATTCTAACTATCAACATTTCTGAATTCGTCGGCGAAACTTATTTCTGAGAAAGAATTCATTACTTGTAAAAAGCGGATCAACTCAAAGTTTTAATTTGGAACCCAACAACATACCTGCTATTATTCGATCAAACCCTGCGCTACCCTCTGGTGTCTCGTTGTTCACTCTCTGTAACAGTATACCCGAAGAGGGAAAGTCCTCTGCACAAAGGAGACATTAACATTACTTAATAAGGAAGCCTGCCTCAGGGCGGTTATACATTTCCTCAAAAAATGTGTTCACGGAGAAATTGATGATATCACAATAACAGACTCGAGTTGATACTGAATTAATCCACTGTTATTGTCTGTGTATCGAAAATTGGGAGAAGTTACAGTTTGATTATTGCGGTAGTTAACAGGTTTAATACGGCAGCCAAGGTATCCACACGCTGATACCTGCATGGAGAAAGTCATTTTCTACTTAGGGAAACATTAGAAATTTTTAAACCAGTCGTACATATTGCAATTACCTGAGTCGCAGCCATATAGGGCGATACGCAGGCAAGCAGACGAGCCAGTGAAACTGACAGGATGGATTCGGATGTAATGAGCTCTCATTCCTTCAAGACTCAGATTTTTACCTTGTATGTCATCATTTGCGTTGAACTGTGACAATAAAACAAGAGGAAAGCGTTAAGTGTTGCCCCATATATTCGGTAAAAACCAAATGTATTAATACATGTTGATAAATATCTCAACGAACAAAAATAACAAATTGTAGTTTTTAAATTATCCTGAGTGAGTGCAAACCTTGCTCAGCGTCAATTTGACTGACTTAAGTTCTTCTGCATATATTGTATTTACAAGCATTCTTTTAATTGGTCTGTGTGATTCCCCCACCTTCTCTCCGTCGATTGATTTGTGGAATAAAGGCTGATAGTTTCGAAAGAAACTGTTTGGGTTTGCGTCGGTGGGAGTAACGAAATAATTTGGATATATCAACAAAGTTGAAGTGCTAACGCTCGAAACGTCAGCTTTTGTAATCGTTACGATGGCCAATTTACCACTTCAACTTTGTTGATATATCCAAGTGATTTGTAGAATGTCTGTTTGTCTGCCTGTATTTCAATATTTATACAACTCTTTCATTTGCACACCTTTCTTGGAGGAAACTCGATGAAAGTTCTCTCCTTTTGTGAATCTGTGTCCTTGTGAATTATTGCTGCAGTGGATCTCTAAGATACATTATTTTACAGTACAACTTACAATTCTGGTAACTCCTTGTTCAGTGTAGTTGACGAAGGATCCAGATTGAGAATCGTTACTCATAGATACATAATAACTTTCCACCCAAGCATTCGTCGATTCATCGGTGACACCTTCGGTTTCGATTACGGATACGTTTGTAAGGTACCCTAAAATACGAAAAAAAAAACACTTACTTGAAAAATGACGAAATAAAAAAAACTATAGTGTGGAGGGTAGATAAGGAGTGTAGGAAAAAAGAAACGCAATTTGGACGAGAAGAACAAATGAGTAAAAGACGAAGGAAACGAACGTACGGATGGTCGCGGAATGTACGAGCCCACAGGAATACGGAAAAAAATAGTCAGACATTTGACACTTCGCAAGAAATGAGTGTAAGAGCGAACAGACTGGCAGAAGATGTAACCACTAAGTGAAAATAATTCTGTCAAAACCTGTTGATGTCGTAGCCCTATAACACACAAAACAACAAACACATATGCAGAGCAAATACAAACAAAAACAACATATACAGGAAGCAAGAAAGCTCGGATTTTGCTTTTTATTTCGCAATGGCCAGGGTGGGAGCAGACGAAATAAACTGACAAGTGGAACAACTTAATTTCCCTTACCAAAGAACACCTGTAGATAGGATGCCGTGTCTGTTTCTAATGCACACCAGCCATCTTTCCATGTACCCATAGTTTCGACACCAATCCTCCCTCGGTATGCCGCTCGGCCTTCTTCCTTTTGGGAAGACGCTGTTATGTCATCATCTGGTATTCTTCGTTCATTGGGAACTTTAAGACCCAGCTCCCTGAATCCGCATCCTAAAGTAAATATATGCAACTACAGAGTTAAAACTGGAGAAGGAAAAGAAGAAATCAGTCAATTAGGAATGGATTATGCCTGTTTCTTTACGAATGAGTTAAAGCGTTTACCAGAAGGGCAAATCAATACAAACTTGAAAAAATCTTCCTTCATGGTTGATTTCGTTCCTTTAGATCTAGAAGTCTATTCAGCTAAGACCAGGATCTTGAGGGGAGAGACCTTCCTAAACAATTTCACGAGTAATTTCCGGGTAAAGAGAGGTTCCTGTCACATACCAAACTGACATTCTTGTCCATAGTATCCACGTGAGCATTCACAGCGGTAACTTCTCCCTGTGTTTATGCAAGTGCCCTCGTTGACACACGGTGAAGAGTTGCAAGTGCCATGATCTTCAACTAGTGATCACGAGAAAATTGCGATTTATTACATTTTCCATTTACTGAAGCAACATTTACATTCATAAACTATTTCCCAAGTAGATTTTCCCTTACAATGAACATAAAAAAAGTATGAAATTTTTTTGTGCTTCACAAAAATCCTCACAACTTTTAAGCACAAATCCTTAGAGGCAATTCTTTGACTAATAAGTCTTGTCAATGATGAAATTTATAGATTGAGTGACTTCAAAAGAAGAATAAGCGCGAAAAACCACAAAGGATTTAAGTGAAATTATACTCCAGCACATTTATCTTAACAGGCATAAATTCCAAGTTATCTTGGCCAAGACTGTGCAAAATAAGATTGTTGAGATCTCTGCACTAACCACGCATTTAAGTCCTAGGATATTCTGTCGAGATATCAAATTTTCAAACTTACGTAAACAGATTTTTCTTTTCAGCTCCGTTTTCAGATCTTCCAAGCCATCAAACGTCGTTCCATAAACTAACCGCCCATCATCGCCGCTGATTTCTCGAAGTTCATCTTCATCATAGTCATCACCGACCCCAACGGCGAATATTGTTACGTTTCTGTCACGCAGTTCCTTGGCTGGAGTTCTAACTAGATCATAGGAAGACCCACTTGTTACAAGCACCAGATAATTGGAAACATCTTGTCGACTTTCAGGCTCTGAGAACATTTTATGACGTACGTAGTTCAATGCTTTCCCAATGTGCCTTCCCTGATTTGGGTAGACCACGCCGTTTACCGCTGTACTAGCTTCTGATGAGTTATGATAATCTTCAAAATTGAACACCTGGTAAACTTTGGTGGAGAAGATTGCTAACCCAACGTGAGCTTTTTCCTCGGACACATCAAGATAATCGATGAAACCTTTCACAAATTTAAGTGTCTTGTTAAAGTTTCCGCTACTAGAAAGTTCCATGCTAGCGGATCCATCAATCAGGAAACCAACGTTTACAAATTGGCCTTCACACCCTACAAAGATTTGAACAACTTGCTTGTGAGATACAGTGTTAAGACAAAATTACATCGATTAAACTCAGTTACATGGCAAAATAGATGACGAAATGATGTTGTGGTAGGAATTAATCAACGCATATTGGCTAGAACGTAGGAGGATGATCCAAGTAACTTTCAAAATTGAGTAAGTCAGTCAGTCAGTCAAAAATAAAGGCATATTTACAGGGCACTCCAGTTAGACAGATCGACAGCACGGTAAACAGAAGCAAAACAAACAAGCAGCCCCTTAGTCGGACGAATAGACAGACAGACAGACAGAGAGAAAGAGAGAGAAAACCTAAAATCTACTCTCAGTACTTACGAGTCTGACAATTTTCCCCAATAAATTTGACTGGACATTTACAGTAATAGCTTCCTGGTGTGTTCATACATTGTCCACCATTAAGACAAGGATTCTTTACGCACTCATCCACGTCTACAAAAAAAAAGTTTATATTTATCACATTACCCTTAAGGCCCAGCACAGGCTTTTACTGAAAACCATTTACTCGGAGAACAATTCCCTTGTGCTTGCCTTACGCGACGGCACAGGCAGGGCTGGGAAAACCCATACGATCCAGCGAGATGTGAGGTTCAAAAATGAAGGAGGAAAAAGAAAAGAAACGTGGTAATCTGGTACAATTCTAATTGACTGAGTTAGTTCGACGCGAAAACGAAAATATTTGGATCTCGGCCAAGACGTACGTTTTTTCACTTTACTTGGGTTTCTTCTCTTACCTTCTTCACAGTTAGTGCCATTCCATCCTGGAACACATTGGCACTGAGGAGTGCCGTCATCACCGACTGTGCAGTTTCCGTTATTATGACAAGGAAGTGGAGAAAGTACACAAGGAGATCCAACTAAATGATATAAATAAACAATAGTCATTCTCAACGAGAAAAGTTTTTTTTTTTTACTATCTGCACGAAATCTGAATAACTGAAACTTAGTACATCATTGAAGAGGAAATGACAACATAAAGAACAAAATCATAAAAAAAGCACATTGTAGACACAATTTTGCATAACACGTCTAAACTTGTTTTTGGTCAAAAAATAAAAATAAATAAAAAGATAAATAAATAAATAAGTAATAAAAAAAAATATATAAAAAACCTGCCACTTACAAACTTCACACTGTTGCCCAGCCCAGCCGGACTTGCAAATACAAGTGTAGTTTCCTGAGGGACGATTAACACAGCTACCACCATTGAAACAAGGATTGATTGAGCAAGGATCCACGTCTGCGAATGGAGTATGCAAAGGTTAACGAAGAGATAATTAGCTGGTTCTAAATAATCAAATCCCAGTTCAAGTAGCAGATTCTATTGAGCAGTTCTAATTGAACTAACCCGGGAATGATAACTGCCTGCAGAAAAATAGTCTTTTTTTTCCTTCCTTTTCCTCTTTTCTCGGGTGCCATAAGAAGAGTGCCACTACTTCCTAATAGGGAATTCTTTACCTGCTACCGTATCAATTTACAAGATCTCAGCACGAGACAAATTATTGTACCTTTAACAATCGCATCTTTCAGGGAAGCCATCACAGGACCAAGATCTGCATAATCTCTCATAGTAAACACATGCTCTGAGTTGGGGTCTGAAGCCATCTCGTTCAACTGACCACGCTTATACCGGCCGATGCCCACACTAAATATTGTAACATTGCTTTCTCTTAGAGCGTATGAAGGAACAGCAATATCATCGGCTGAAATTCCGTCTGTTATGACAACAAGGATGTCTCGCGATTTGTTGTCGGTAAGTCCATTTGAGTGATTGAATAGCTCTCTGCTCGCTAGTTCAAGAGGTTTTCCTATATATCTTCCCTTACCAGTTGTGTTCAAATTGTCCAATTCAACCTCAAGCTCGTTATGCGTGGTGTTATCCAATCGGTATTTCAAGCAGGGGGTATCAGAGTACGTAACAACCCCTATGCGCGATTCGTCCCCATCATTTTTAAGGGTTTTTACCATGCCTTTGACGAACTCCACTAGTTTTTTTAAGTTCCCCTTCTGATAGCTGTCGATGTCATCTCCAGTGTACAAAAGGAATCCAATGTTGAAAGTTTCTGAATATTCTATAATGAAACCGAAAAAATAGATGAAATCAGTGCGAGATCGGCTAACAAGAATAAGGAAGTCGACGTACAACATATCAGAGACCTGATTAAAACACGCATGAACAAAATTGACTGGCATAGTTAAGGCTATCAGTACCTCGGTTGCAAGAGTTTCCTTTGTCGAAAAATCCTGATCTGCAGTTACAGAAGGATGTTCCTGGGAAATTGATGCAGATTTTTCTTTCTCCACAGTCTATATCTGTGCACTCGTCAATATCTGTGTAATAAATGAATATACTTGAAATCACCGTTAAATTACCGCACAGAGGAATTTTCACTATCGCGTTTTTGATAGATCGTTCTGTATTGCATCAATCATAATGGAAAACGAATCCTGGCATACAGAGAAATGTATGAATACAAAGAAATGAATCGTCATTTTAAGCGGTCACAAGAATTAACTTTAACAGAATAAAACTTTGTAAATATTAATTTCCTATGGTAGATTGGAATCAAATTAAAAAGGAACGAAGAAGTTGGAGGGTGGAGAAGATTAAAGCGGATTACAGATAAAAACATGATTTTAATATATTGATGCTAGGCACAAACGCAGTCCCTTTGAGGAGTATTGAGAAGTATTCAGAAGTATTAGTCGACACTGCACATTTTACACTCCTGAACCTACCCATTTCACAATTGATTCCCGTGTAACCGGATTGACAAGTGCATTTGTAACTATCCAATAGACTTCGACATGTTCCCCCATTGTTGCAAGGATCGCTATAGCAGTGATCCACAGCTTCGCAAGAAGAAAAAATAAAGACACCGTTAATAAAACTACAAGAATCTTCTTTTGAACAAATGTAAACAATGTATTCGTTGTGGATGGTGTTTGCCTGTAATAAGAAATCTCTTCATTCGTTATAATAAATGATTGTATTAAAAACCAAGAAAAATAGACATAACGCTTCATCAAGGGATTGAGACAATGCACGTTGTTATTGATCGTTAGGCGTATTCAGATGTGAAAAAGGTTATGACGCTTGATTGTTTTTGTTCCAGAAGACTTCTTTCGTGTATAAGTAGCTCCGCATCAAGAGAATTTTCGAAAGACATGCAAAGCCTTGACTGCCCTTCAAGTTGGCATAGGATTCTATAATTTCTCCAAGCATCCTTCGCGCTCTGATAAGCCCACTTAAAAATAGGAAACATTAACTAAAACTTAAAAGTGTTTTTTGTCTTTCTTAGGGTCAATCCTAGAAATTAAGGTAAGGTAAAGTTTGTGTTATTTCAAAGAGACCAGAGGATGGATATGCAAGTCAATTGAAAAAATAGATTTTATAGTAACTTGATGAGGTTCCCTCCATGTTGGCGAAAAGCAACGCATCTTACCGTCACAAAGCGTCTCCTTTATCCTGTCAGCTGTAGACGGAAGCTGATCATAAGAGGGAGCCTCGAACACATTGGACGGTGAAGACGCTATCTGCTGGAGCTCTTCTGCTGCGTAGTATTCGCCGACACCCACAGCCAGAGTCACAATCTTCATTGCTCTGAGTTGAGCTGATGGCAAAGAAACGTCATCATTGGACACTCCATCTGTGAGAGTCACAAGGCAGTTGTGTCTTCCAGATTGTGCTTGCGCGAATAGTTCATTCTGAACAGCCGTTAGGGCTGAGCCTGTGTTAGTACCATTTGCAGGATAGTCCATTGAGTCGATCACTTGGTTAATGTTCGACTTAGCGTAATGCGTTTGGAAGGTAAACTTTGTTATGGTGAGGGAAGAGTAGACCACCAAACCGACGTTGGTGTCTTCTTTATCAACCTTGTAGAAGTCGATTACAGATTTGACCAAATGTTTGTATTGAAAAGCAGCGGATGAGCTGAGAGTTTTCATACTGGCTGAGCCGTCAACCAGGAAGGCCAAGTTGAATTTCTGGTTTTTGCAAACTGCAATGAGAAAATATGAAGAAAACTTTCCATTATTTCCTCACTTATCCATTTATTCGACGCGCAGTCGGGGAACGCTACGAAGCATTCCAAAAATTGGCTGAGAAGGAGAGTGAAACTAACCTGACTGACAGTTTCTCCCCAAATATCCTGATGGACATGCGCAATGATAACTTCCCGGCAGGTTTTTACAGTTGCCATTGTTCTGGCAGGGATCCGAGTCACACTCGTTTATATCTGACAAATAAAAGGACGGCAAAAGAAGTTACTTTCATTTCAATATCACATCCCTCAGAGAGACATGTCTGAACGCAAATTCTTGCACCTCAAAATTATTAGGTCTTTCCTTTCCCCGTTTCTACCTGAATGTTTGACTCTTCCAATATAATACCTACCATCTTCACAGTTGTCTGATGTAAAACCAGCCATACAGTTACAGCTGTACGAGTATCGAGATCGAATGCACTGTCCTCCGTTTTTGCAAGGATTCGGAAAACATGGAGAAATCTCTGAGAACGGATAAAATGAAGAAGAAAATAAGTATTCTCAAAATACAAATATTAAAATGTTTAAGTGACACGCGCAGTCCATTCTAACAGCTTATCTGGGTAGAAGCACAAATTTTTTAAGGCTTGTCTGTTGGATACTATTATCTCAATAACATAAGTCATCATATAATAGGGCATAATGTTCAGGTTGCAAAGCTCACCTTGGTCACATGTGCTTCCTGAGTATCCCTGTTGACAATCGCATCTATATACGTCTCCATTTGGAATGCATGTACCATTGTTGCGACACGGTGATGAAGAACAGGGATTCAATGCTGAAAAATGAGAAAGTATTGTTAAACGTGACAAAACTAAGCCCTGCAAAAACTTTGTTCCTTTTAAAATCCGTTCATCCTAAAAGCACAGCGCTCGGCGACTTTAAAGCTTTTGGGCTTTTTCTGACGTGGTTTGGTGCTATGTCACGGTTTGTTTCTGATTTCAAGATGATCTCAGCAATCTATCTCGTGGAAGTAATATTTTTGCTTTTTTTCTTCGCATGAGAGGTACCTTTGGGCATAAAGCACTCAACGAATCACGATTTCGTGACGTAGTGGTAACAACAACAATCACATGAAAGTCTAATACACTCACCCGTGAACAAAGCACAAGGAAAAAAGGGTAAACGTTTTCTTAAGAAGCACACAAGGACTTACCCATGCAGACAGAGTCCTTCATCTCTTCTGTAAACAAAGCAGTGTCCATATCCCAAGACTTGGAATACTTGTGGTACATCGACATCGGCTTCGAAGCGATTTCTCTCAATTGCCCTTTCACCATCTTGTTTCCATTACCAACTGCAAATATTTTGACGCCGTATTTCTTGATGGCCTGTGAGATATAGCCAATAGCGTCTTCAGATCTTTTGTTTTGTAGAAGGATGATGACTTTGGGAACACCACTTCGACCATATTTCGCAAAAACCTTGTCTTTAACATACTTGAGACCTTTCCCAACGTAACGTTTCTTCTTCTTTAGCAAATAAATCTTAGAAAGAACTTTGTAAAGGTCTTTATAACTAAAATGGTCATTTAGATTGAGAATTATTTGAGAATCGTCACCATAAAGCACCAGACCAATATGTGTTCCTTGCTCAGAGACATGGAGCACTTTCGCGACATTCTTGATGAATCGCATAATTTTCTTAAAATTTTCCATCTTGGTTCCGCGCGTTCCATCCGCAAGAAATACAAGGTCCATCGTGGTATTACATGCTTTAATAAGGAAAAAAGAAACAAATTACGGGCTGATCTAACTAAGAGTAACACAAGAACATAATTCTCTCTGATTGCTCTTATAAGCTGTGTTTCAGAAAATGTCTGAAACTGGACGTCGCAGATTTGGCATCTTCTACATCACACAACAACCTAATATATCCAGGTCATGGTAAGTTCACCTCCCAAAGATGATAAATCTGTAACTGCTTCTCACAATATCGATACATTACCCAACCGTCACACATGCGATGGAAGGAGACAAATCCATCAGCGAAAAATTTGTTTGATACAATACCGAATTCTATAAACTGATTTTTAAGATATACAAAGCAGCAAGAGGACAGAATTCCCAAACAGATCTACGGGTTTAAACAATTTATTCTGAAACCGAGATAGAAAAAATAAAAGATCATATTGTTATTTTTCATCGGTTATATGTTTCTTTACCTTTGTCGCATTTTGCCCCGTAGAATCCTTCCGGACACACACACTCATGTGATCCAACACGGCTGATACAAACTTGTCCGTCGGTACAAGTGTTGTTTATGGCACAGTTGTCTATCACTGCAATTGAACAAAGGACCGCACTCGTAAACAATGCATGCATTGCAAGGCCTTTGCTCAATCAAGAGTAGAGATTACCCGTCGCCTACCTTCTTCACAGTGAGTCCCTGTTACACCTTCAGGGCATGTGCACTGGTATCCATGCAAAGAGTTGTGGCATGTTCCGTTATTCATACACGGACTGCTGAAGCAGTGGTCAACAGCTGAAAATTAAACAGAAAGAAGCGACAGTTTGCATTGTCTACAGGACAAGTTTTTAACGTCACTAAAGCAAAATGCATCTTGACGTCTCCCGCAAGTCGACCTGAGTAACACGATCGTACAGCTACTGCAATACTATCAGTCATCATCAGCATGCACATCGAACAATTTAAATCATCTCTTTTCGTGAGTAAGATTGTAATCCAACTCTTTTACTCTCCTCCCTCCCCCCAAGATCTCATCAGGTTTTGTGTTTGTCGATTCATTAAGACAAAAGTAAACAAAGGGATTTAAAAAGGCATTGTGTCTTTTCCACGATAGTTAAAAATACGGTTTTGAAGATGTCACGTCTCAATCAGCGTCGACGGTTTCCTGTAAACTGTCGTCCGTAATGAGTTGAGGAACGCGCCCTTTCGACTTGCCGACAAATGATACCGCTTTGGTTACGTTACGTTGACGACACCTTCACCGCTGTTCGACACGACGAAATTGACGCATTCCACCACCACCTTAATGAACAAAACAGTGACATACAGTTTACCAGAGAAGTCGAAGAAAATGGCAAACTTCCTTTTCTAGACTGCCTGGTAAGCCACAACGACAACTCATTACGGACGACAGTTTACAGGAAACCGACACACACCGACAGATTACTAGACGAGTCATCCTACAACCCTACATCACACAAAGCCACAACTATCAGAACTCTAACACGACGCGCACAACTAGTATGCGACTCGACAGACAGCTTATCCGACGAGAACAAATACCTTCACCGTGTTTTTACGAAGAACAACTACAACAACGACTTCATCCGACGAAACACTCACCGACCCACTACCACTACCGAAACAAACGACACCGCAACCCCTACGACTACAGCAACCATACCGTACATAAAAGGCATGTCTGAAAACATCTCGCGCATCTTACTACCCTTCAATATCCGCGTCGCCCACAAACCCATCACCACACTACGTCAGTTACTAACCAACGTTAAAGACAAAGACGAACCGAGGAACAGACAGGGAACGATTTATAAGATCAATTGTTCCGACTGCCAAGCCTCCTACATCGGTGAGACTGGCAGAAACCTCACAACAAGACTGACTGAACACAGACGGGCCATGGGTTTGTGGGCGACGCGGATATTGAAGGGTAGTAAGATGCGCGAGATGTTTTCAGACATGCCTTTTATGTACGGTATGGTTGCTGTAGTCGTAGGGGTTGCGGTGTCGTTTGTTTCGGTAGTGGTAGTGGGTCGGTGAGTGTTTCGTCGGATGAAGTCGTTGTTGTAGTTGTTCTTCGTAAAAACACGGTGAAGGTATTTGTTCTCGTCGGATAAGCTGTCTGTCGAGTCGCATACTAGTTGTGCGCGTCGTGTTAGAGTTCTGATAGTTGTGGCTTTGTGTGATGTAGGGTTGTAGGATGACTCGTCTAGTAATCTGTCGGTGTGTGTCGGTTTCCTGTAAACTGTCGTCCGTAATGAGTTGTCGTTGTGGCTTACCAGGCAGTCTAGAAAAGGAAGTTTGCCATTTTCTTCGACTTCTCTGGTAAACTGTATGTCAGTGTTTTGTTCATTAAGGTGGCGGTGGAATGCGTCAATTTCGTCGTGTCGAACGGCGGTGAAGGTGTCGTCAACGTAACGTAACGTAAACAAAGCCGAAAATCTACCGACCCACTACCGCTACCGACAGACGACATTATGGACCAAAAAAAGAACGACCTAACTTTACCGACAGATCGAAACAGACCAATCACGACCGACTTACGTCACTTGAGTCTTACAGCCAATAACATCACGGCAAAACCAACCGATCATTTCACACGAACTGGAATAAGAACATTCTACTGACAACAATCATTCACTTGACTCTGATGATGACTTCTGCACAGGTTGTCGAAACGTCAGTCACTACCACCGACAACAGTCCTTCTCAGGACTACACTCACCCGGACGATCAGACTACACCTTCACATGTTACCCCCGGGTTCAAACCATTTACTGCATAAAGCATCTATATGAAACTCCACTACGCAAAGGACAAGACTCGATAACCGTAAAAGGTGTTGTTTCCAACATTCATCTGCAAACGCATGCAAGCAACTCAGTATTACCTTCACAAATCATTTCATGGATTTTCCAACTCATATGTACAAGTTGGTAGTAACTTGTCAAAACAATAGCGTTCAAATGCGGTTGGCTTGCCACGCTTTCAAGTTGTTTGATATCGTACCAGTTCCCCATGGCAACCACTAGAATTGTTACGTTCATGTCATGGAGTAATTTTGATGCAACTGCGACACCATCGTTTGATGTGCCAGCAGTGAAAACAACAAGAACGCGGTGAACATTTTTTCGGCTGTTGTTGAAGAATTCTTGTCTTGTGTAATTCAGCGATTTTCCAATCAGTGTCCCAGGAGGAAGTGTATGTAAGCTCTCCAATGACTGTAATGTTTGGTTTCGAGTGTAATTGAAGTAACTTTCTGTTTTCATCACTGACGAATACAGGACCACTCCAATTCTTGTGTTAGGATCGTGAAGATAGCTCAGTATAAACTTTACAATGTTTATCATATAAACAAAATATTCATTTCCAGTGTTCTGATTGGACGATCCATCTATCATAAAGACCATGTCAATCATGGTCTCGTTGAAGACTATGAAAATAAAATAAAAAAAGAAGCAACGTGATATCTTTTTTAATGGCATTGAATTAATCACTCAAGAACTAGGGAATAACTTGCGAATAAGACTACAGAAGTTCGTTAACATTTGTTTAATCTGTTCATTTTTCGATCCCAAATCTTTATTTCTTCGTTAGTTGTCGTTCTCTGATGTCAATCTCTGTCATTAAACACCACCCTCTGAGTTTCTACGCTCCCAGCTAATTACGATAAGGTCACAAAGGGCAAAAGTTCTTAACGAGTTTGATTTCTTAGAAAAACAAATTGGGTTTCGAAAAGAAACATTCGCGGGACATTAAAGTCATATTTGTCCAATCATGTTTTCAATTGATAAAACACATTTACATCTTTACCTTTATCACAATTTTTCCCGGCATATCCTCCTACACAGTTGCAGTAATAGTCACCCATTCGTTCTTCACAAGTCCCTCCGTTCTGGCAAATCTTTTCTGGCAAGGAACATTCTTTAATATCTAATCAGACGGTAAACAGAAATAAGAGTCATAGAGCTTTAGCTCAAAAACACAGATAAGGATTACCGCGAATACGTTTGTATACAGCTAGCTTTCGAAAAATACAGCCTCAGTTCATTTATCTTTGATAATTATTGTGGCCACTAAATTGCTTAAATTTGTTAAGCTACCAACCTTCTCCGCAGTTGGGCCCAGTCCATCCTGGTGGGCATGCGCAGTAATATGAGTTGAGTGGCAAGACTTCGCACGTACCAGCATTTTTGCAAGGATCAGGGTTGCATGGATCTTGAACTAAAAAAAAGTTGAAAGGACAAATGTTAAGTATGTAGTAGGGCTGAAAGCCAGTTTTTCTAGTGCTTTGCCCAGCAACAAGGAAAGGTAGGAGACATCTCAGCCAAAATAATCTTAAAAACAAAGGGAACCGTCCCCTTTTAAGTACTGCATTCCTTTCCAAAAAGGAACTAGTTAAGCGACATTTATATCAAAGGCACATGTCCCTCCCAATATATTTTGCGATTCAAGGTATTTTGTCTCTAAGTAAAATTTCGCGGCACGGGATTTCTGGGTCACCTTTGGATCTCCCACAACGGGGTGATCTAAAAACTACTTAACAAGGGCTGCCACGAAAGTAAGGCCTACATCGGGCATCGTTATCTCAGGTTATTATTCCTCAAGGTCATCTGAAGCTATAAGATATAGGAAAGATCTTATAAGAGTGTACTGACCTTTATCGCAGTTCATTCCTGAATATCCTGGATGGCAAATACAAACATAGCCATTCTCAGAAGATTCACAAGTGCCGTTCTTACAAGGATCGCCAGAACATGGGTCGAGAGCTGAAATAAAAATGATAAAACATCATTTGTTAGCTACGGAATTTCAATCTCAGCCCTCTCCGATCAACCTCTGTTTTATTACTTTGTAGTTAAGTGTTCTCGTTTCTTAAAATGTCACCGAATCGGTCATAATTTCCTAACTTGAAGACGAGAAGAGAACCAACATCTCACAATTCACGATTAATAAAATAGGATACTTACCTTTACCCAGCCTTACTTTGAAGTATGCAACCTGGACACCAAGCTCTTTACCAGAATCGTAAGTGAGTATGTGGTCACCGTCTGGATCGGAGGAGATCTCCTTAACTTGACCCAGGCTGTATTCACGCCCAACAGCAATTGTAAACACTGTCACATTGTACTGCTTCAATAAAAGATACGCGGGGACTGCGATTTCATCATGGCTTTTGCTAGCCGTCAATATCACCAATACTTTTTGAACATTTGGGCGCGAGATACTTGCATTATGGAGAATAGAACCAACGTATAACATCGCCTCTCCTAGATTACTTTGAAGACTAGCCGGATATACAGTTTTATCGACGACGTTTTCAAGAGATGACTGGTTGTAATGATCATTTAAGTCCGCTACAAGAATGGGGGTATCACTATAAACGGTGACACTGGCATGGGTTTCATCTCTAGATACATTTAATGAAGCGGTGACGGCTTTGGTGAAGGATGTGAATGCAAGGAAGGTCTCTTTCGTTACTGACTGACTTCCATCAATCAGAAAGGCAATGTCTAGTTTGGTATCTAAGGCTGAAAATAAGATTGAAATGAAAAGTGAGGCTAATAACATTGATGATCACAACAATGCGGCTTGGTCGATGGGTATCACAGAATATTCCTGACATAGTATCTATCATAATTCCACTTCAAGTAAACGCTTTACGCACCAGCATGCACTTACATCTCCCAAAGGCTATTGGGCCGTTGATTATCTTATTTTGTTTTTTCTTTATTTGTAGTTGCACAGTTTTGTTGCTGCTGCCACTGCTCGCGTTGATGATATAGTTTCTGCTACCTTTTAGTTTGTTTGTCTGTTTTTTAATTTTTTTTCTTATTTTATTTGTCTCTTTGTTAATTCTGTTAAACAAATATAAAGTAAAGTAAGGAAATCTTTTTTCCTAACAGTTATCAATAATTTTCTGAGTGAAAAGACAAATTTTGAACAAAAACTTCAACAGCAGTTGTTGGTCAGACACGAGAGATGCAAAGAAAGCGACATTAGTCTCACTTTTCTCTACACGCAGAATACTCACCATACTGGCAATTGGCACCATACCGTCCTCCGATGCACACACATTGATAACTACCCAAAGTATTGATGCAGGACAGTCCATGAGTGCAGTTTGGTGCGTATCTGACGCATTCATCCACATCTACTTGGAAGATGGCAAACTGTGTTAATCTTCTCGAGTCTTAAAGAATTATCATTCCGATGTGGAGTAAACTTTTCACTTTCGTACTTTTATCTCTTTCACCTTATATGTCGTGGTTTCATTCTTATTTGAGCTACACGCCATTTTGTTAATGCATTTGTTACACAGAAGCAAAGGATGAGTCAAAAGAGACTTTGGGATATTTAGATAGGGGGAAGAAAATTTAGTTCCCGTTTAAAAGAAAATATCGCCATGTTTTAATCGACATATCCCGCCATCATCACTTTAAATTGGCCTTTTCTTTCCTCTCCCAGGGAGGAAATTAATTACCTTCTTCACAAGTTGGTCCCTCAAAGCCGACTGGACAAGAACAGGTGTATTTTTGAGCAGTCCTACTGCAGTTCCCTCCAAAACGACAGGGAAAGCTAGTGCAAGGATCAAGAACTGTAAAGAAAAAACCATACACTTGTTGTTTTTCTTACATGGAATATAAAAGGAACTTTCTGATAGAAATGGAGAAAAGAGTCAATTTGACATGATAATTAACAATTATTCCACGAGCGCGCGTTGGTTATGAGATGATATATAGCCAACGAGGCGCGTAGCGCCGAGTTGGCTATAATCATCTCATATCCAACAAGCGCGAGTGGAATAATTGTTTTATTAAAAACGTTAAATTAAATTATTAAATTTTATTAAATTTTATTAGATTTTTAGCTCCCTCTTAATTTTAAGCTGACACCTACGCTTGCCATATTTGTAGATTATGGTATATTGGCTGATATACCATAATGGCTAAGCCAATAAAAAGTCTTAAATTGCATTATCTAACGGTCTAGTTTTTAATAATTGACGATATCAGAGTTCTTGATACAACCGTCACTTTCTGCCGCAAAATCTACCGTAATAAACGGAATTGTTTCCTTTTGTACCTTGACTTACAGCACCACTGACACCACCTTCCATAACATCCATGTGTTCATTGTCTATTATAATTACGTTATCGTCTTCTGGTGCGCTTGCGATCTCTTTTAGTTCTTTGATATCGTAACCGTCTCCAATTCCAACGACAACAATTTTAATTCCGTTATCACGAAGTTCTTTGGAAACTCCTGTGAAATTACCACTTAGTGTATGACTGACGAAAACAACCAAGACGTCAGGTACATTTTCTCTGCCTGTTACAAAGATCTGCTCCCCAGCAAAGCGCAGAGCGTTTTCAATGGAAACAGTTGTTTCGTTAAGAAATGGTAAATTCTCGATAGCAGCTGCTACGGTGGAATCATCGTAGTTCTCAGTGAAGTTAAAGCCAATAGCTACAGTCGTCGCATAAACTGCTGCGGCCACGTTGGTTTGATCCCGGGAAATGTTATAGTCGGACAAAAGTGTGTTTGCAAACTGCAGAGTTTGTCGGAAGAGACGATTTCCAAGGTGGGCTGACCCATCAAATAGGAACATTAGATCAAATACGTCGGTAACCAGTCCTTAGAAAGAAGATTGAAACGAAAATGTGAGCAAACTTGATATGTATGTGGCTTTATAGGTGGAAACTTGCATGACTTACATTGCAGATTGATGCTGATTGAGAGGGGTGCAGACTCCATATAACACATTACAAAATATTTAGAACAAACAGCCATTCTGAATAATAAAACAAAACAAAACTTAACAAGTCAAGCAGCTAAAGGAAACTCGAGAGAGTAACACGTAACACGATGAGGAAAGAAGACGGAAAGATAATTAGCCACACACAAACGGCCCACCTATCTGACAGTGGATCCCAGTATAGTTCCGTGCACAGATACACTCATAGCTGCCAAAGGTATTCATACAACCAAATGCACCATTCAAGCAGGGGTTGTTGAAACACTCATCAATATCTGCAAACGACAAGTGAAGTTAAACAGAAGTCATTGGATGAGGTGAAATAGAATTCAGCGGCTACTGTTAGGTTAGTAGGTTTACGACCAGTCTGCCCTATGTGCAGGAGAAGGCTAATTCTAGATTATATGCACGATGCATATACATCTTACGTCGTCCATTTACTAAGCAATACAGTCAATAACCCATTGGAAGTGACCTTTGGTTAAAAGGAAAAAACTTAAACCTTTTACATAAGGGAGAAAAAGAGCGGGAAAAAACCCACTGGTGCGCACGGCACGCGTGAGTGAAGAAGGTTATGTACTGCAGGTATCTAAGTTGAAACTTTATTATTGGGTGAATGGCTCCTCACGGGATCATGCACAGATTCAATGGCCTAGACACATGCAAACAGTTCAAGTGAAAGTCATAGGGAGAGTTAGCTCAAGTAAGGAAATACACTCTCTACTGCATAATGAAACAAGCAATATTGACTCCTGCAATATTTTGAATAATAAAACAAAACAAAACCTAACAAGTCAAGCAGCTAAAGGAAACTCGAGAGAGTAACACGTAACACGATAACGAAATATCCCTCCTGCAAAGCTGATCGGAAAATTGTTCCCATAATGCCTTACCTTCCTCACAATTTGTTCCCTTCAGACCAGTAGAGCAGTCACAGCTGTAATAGCCATGATACGAACTACACGTCCCTCCATTTGTACAAGGCTGAGATACGCACAAATCTTCCACTAGGGAAAGAAACGATATTGTCAATACACAAAAAAGTGGACACCGACGAGTCACTCCTTACATCACATTACGTCAGGAGCCCAAAATTTGCCCTCTCCACCTCCGCCGCATGGCTGATCCTAATAATATGCGAGACCCTCTCTAGTTCTATATGAACTTCATAAAGGACGTGGCTCGTCAACACATTCTTTGTAACCTTGTTGGTAAACAGCATGAATGGAAAATCAGCTCGTTAAAAGTATAGAACACATTTCTGTGCAATATCATTCTCTACTAGAGCGAATTTCGATATAGCAGGGCAACATAACACTTACGTAGTGACGCCAATTAATCAGAAGAAAGGAAACATCCAAAGGTATCATTGATCAAGTAAACTCCTTAAAGTGCTGTAAACCAACAATCACCAAGCTAGGTTTTTAACTCTAGATCTGACTGGTTGCGAAGGTGACGCTAGCCTTTTCGGACTAAGTGCACAGCGAAGTAAAGCAAAATCTAACTATCTTGATTACTTAAGTGTTCCAGTATAGCACTTATACTTAACAGAAGTCAATGAATCAATGATAGTTTGCCTACCTTCACAATTTGCTCCACTGAATCCTGCAGGGCAGCTGCAATTAAAGCCATTTTCAGAGTTTGTGCATGTCCCACTGTTCAAGCAGGGATTGTTATAGCAGGGATCCACCACTGGAACAGAGAGATGATGAGAAATTAATATTTTTTTAAATCATGTCATTATTGCAAAATGTTTCGAAGCTAGTTAAAAAATAGCTGCCAGAAATGTATTCGTAGCAAACGAACCTTCACAGTTTTTTCCTGAGTATCCGGAAGTACACGTACAATTGTGCTCTTCGGATAGATTGTGGCACGTTCCATTGTTTTGGCAAGGACTACTGTAACAATAGTTCCGAGCTAAAATCAAAAAGCAAATGGCATGACACAGTATTGAAGCTTGAGGGGAATCATTTTATTTTCATTTCAAATTGACGAATTCATAGTGTCAGTTAAGAAAAAAAGAATACACCCCAATCATACAGTGAGGACTGACTGAAGTAAATGGTTTGAACCTACGAGTAAAATTTTACCGTGTAGTTTCATCACCGGGTAAGATAAGTCATTAGAAGGAGTGATGTCGTAGATGGTACTGACCTACGTCTCGACAACCTTGGCGGAAGTGGTACCGACCTTATTCCCCCTCAGGACTAATCTCACCAATAAGATCAGGCAAAAAATACTGAAAAACTGGAATTTAGTTCTATTGCCGACCAGCAGTGATTGAAACATAGCTGTATTAGTCCGATGGTGACTGTTGCAGAGGTTTTCGAAACATCAGTTCTTAATAAGGACACAGGCCCTTCTCAGGACCAACTCTCAGTCGGGAGACCAGAATATGTAATCGAGAGCGCTTACTGTTCAAGAATAGCATTAATGAACAAAAGATATCAATGATCAGAGAGACGCACCTTCGCACCTTGAACCTGTAAACTCAGCGGGACAATTACAAGTGTAGTTTCCCAAAGAGTTATGGCAACTTCCGTTGTTCTGGCAAGGGTTGTCATGGCAAAAGTCTAGAGCTAAAGACAATGACACGACAACGACAAGGAATATTAGTTAAAATTCAATCGATTACAACAAAAGCGTACTAATAGTTGTCTTTTTTAATTCAGTTCTATTTTTTTTCTTTTTAGATATCTATACGAGTTCTCATTTTGCATAATTACTCGAACTGTCACCTGGTTATAGAGAAACGAAATAAAAAACTTCCACAAGATGAGATTTGTCTAGGAACATTTGAATCTTTCTTGTGCTGCGCGTTACTTAATCTCCATGACAAGATAATAAATTTAACTAACCTTCACAGTTACGTCCTGTTGTTCCAGAAGAACAGAAACAAATAAAGTCATCCACCACGTTTTGGCACGTTCCATTATTCTGGCACGGATAATTGAAACAATGATCCATAGCTGGACAAGGAAATAAAGTTTGAATTTTGCTGATTATTTTAGATCCGAGCTAAAATACTATTGTAACTCAAGACACATACAAGAGGAAAGCGATTTGCTACAAACTATCGATATTAACCTTGGCATTGCAGCCCCGATGATCCTGGAGGACAGTTACAAATAAATCCTTCCCGAAGATTATGACAAGTTCCGTTGTGATGACATGGATTGGACCGACAATGGTTCCTCACTACAAATTGAGCGAAAATGTCGTTATTCGAGTTAAGGAACTACTAGGGGAATCTTATTTTTCTGTCCTGAGCCATGTAAGATGGATGCTGCCGGGTTCCGCTCAGAGAATTCTCGATTTGTGTGGTAGTTTCACACAATTAAAGGGTCAGCATGAAAGTTTTTTTAAAACCGTTAATGTGTTTCGTGTAGGGTTTAAAAAATGCCAATTAAACTACTGTGAAGTCTTATACTTGCTTTTTATTAGCGTGATGTACATTCATTCTATAAGTTTACAGTTCGTAAAATTTCAACAACTTACTTACAAAATATCGCAGACATCGCCAAATGCGAGAGAAGGCCGTTCAATTCCCTATGTAATATTTGGATGAGATGGTACTGCTCAGCGTATAGAAAACATTTTAAGGAGTATACCTTCGCAGCTTTGTCCTGTATATTCCTCAAGACAGGTACAAGTGTAATTGTCCACATGGTTATGGCATGTTCCATTATTCTGGCAAGGACTGGAATGACAATGGTCCATTGCTAAAATAAATAATTAAATAAATAATGGTCATTGGACTGTTAGGTATCGATCGACAGCAGTAACCATCACACCAAAACCATCGCGCTCGAATCTTTCCCGTCCTTCGCAATAACTATTGCGTAAAACTCTTCGATAATTTGATTCGGGGCTTTTAGATCGTACTTTCATGGCCGTTTTTGGGAGCCCAAGACCTCCAGACTTTCAGCCAGATTTTCTTCCTATGTCGGGTGTTTTGAACATAAGTTGTGTCCTATTGCACAGTTACCAATGCGTGAAGCAATGAGAAGTATTGCTAGCCCACCCCTCCCCTCCCCCCCATGGATTGGATGCTGATTCATCACATTACTTCCGGTTTCCGAGACACTAAATACAACCGAGTGAAAAGGAGCACTATGGCTTATTTCTATAGCATGTTCCATTATTTTGACATCATGTCAAGAAATTATAGTCCTTAGCTAAAACAATGAAAAAATGTGATATAGGATAATCTTAGCCACGTTTATCCCCGTGTAGTACAACGTTGAGTTTCTTCCGTGATACCAGAACTTATGTCCTACAACAAGGGCAGATTAAAGGCTTTAAATGGCATACTCCTAACTCTAATACCCCAAAATATACAAAGCAAAGGAGAAAAGAGTGTACAATCGACTTAATTTTTGTTCAATTCGTATTTTGATCACTATCTAATCGACAAGCCTTCGCAACTCTGTCCAGTATAACTTGGAGGACACGAACATGTATAGTTGTCAGGATTGCTTTGACATGTTCCATTGTTAAGACATGGGTTGTCGAAACAGTGATCTCCAGCTGAAAAAGGTATTTATTTTTGGCGTAAGAGCTTCAAGGTAATAGATATATATCACATTGACGCGAAAGGCCCAGCAGAAAGCGGACAAAGTTCTACACTGCCCTCTATTTCCCCTGAAAAAGCTCTCTAGCCTTTGAAGATGGAAGGGTTGAACAGACACTCCTTTCCACAAAGTTTCTTTTCTAGATACAGTCTTTCACAGGTTTTAAGATTCATTACACAGATTTATCTTTCTTACTTTCACAGTTTCCTCCGGTGAATCCCGGAAGGCAGCTACACTGGAAGCTCTCAGCCGTGTTGGTGCAGGAGCCATTGTTTGCACATGGATTTCCATAACAGTGGTCTATTTCTGCGATGAAATATCAAATCATCTGTCAATTAACCAACGTTCGAACTCATTCCGTATAATTTATCAATGGGACCCTCCTCAGAAAAAAGTATACTTTAGGGCTCACGTTTTCGAATAGAATTCCACTCGCTTGCCGTTCGAGCGATTGCATTTTCGTTAAAATGACTTGAGCAGCTCTAAGATATGTTTTAGCATCCTTTCCACCTCTTTGGACGGGTTGCAACTCATCAAATTGCCTAAATTTCAAGAAAGCGCGAGAGATCTATAGGCAACTGGTTTTAAATTTCCATCCAATTCATTGAGGGGTTTGTTCGGGGTTTCTGGATTAACCATAGTGGGCAGGAAAGCAAAAAATGAAAACTGTTCTATAAACCAGTGACAAAACCAACCTTCGCAGTTCTCTCCTTTGTATTCTTCTGGACACTGACATGTGTAGTTATCAAAGAGTCTAACACACGTCCCATTATTCAAACAAGGATTGTAGGAACATCGGTGTAGATCTAGAGGCAAAATACATAGAATTCAGATCCTCACTTCATTTTTACACCCTTATTTTTTGACTCGCTAAAAGCCCACTACTACAGAGGCCTATTTTGGTTCAGAAGCCGAACCATAAAACTATGAGTATTGCTATTTAGCCTATTAGTCTTCTCGTCTATCACCCACGCAAATTGGCAAGTTTCCCGGACAGTTTCGCTGAGACCCACTAACAATCCTGCGTGGCTGAAGAGGAACACTATGGAGATCTGGCCAGAGCAATTCGTCTGAATCCCCGGCAGTTTGCTCGAACAGATTCACACTCCCGTATGAACCAGTGAAACATAGTGAGCAACTTGCCCAAAATCTCAACTCAGTGACTGTGCCAATGGCAGGAACTCAGTGACACAAAACTTCCCTATGTATGACAGTTTACCAACCAACAACTTAGTCTACCATTGGTGGAAGGTTTACGTAAGGAATAGAAACAGACCTTGCTCACAGTTCCTTCCAGTAAACATTGCTTGACAAAAACATCGAAAGTCATCCAAAGTATTTTGACAAGTTCCGTTGTTTTTGCATGGGCTATCGAAGCAATTGTCTATTTCTGCAAAGTGAGAAAAATAATGTTGCTCTTTTCATCGAAAAGACAAATAAGTAAAAGAAGAGCTAATTGTTTCGCTTCAGGACAGTTCTGAACTCAGCAGAAAAAAAGAAATCTCTGTGCAACAAGCAATATCTTCAGAAGCAGACGACATTACTATGAGGAGTAAAGAATGCAAGCTCTAACCTTCGCAATTCGTTCCTTGGAATTGGTCACTGCAAGCGCAGGTATAGTTCTCCGAAAGACTATGACATGTTCCGTTGTTAAGGCAAGGACTATCATAACAATAATCTACCTCTTAATATAAGAAAAAAGAAAAAATATGAAAATAAGAAACGAGGAGGTAACACCTAGAAGAGAAATGGGATAAAAAGTAGTGGGAGAAATTAAATGAGAACGTCGACAGTAAAAGAGATGACGGCAGAAACCAAAGGCCTCTTTCGTATCAAGTATTTCTTCTTTGAAACTCACTCTCACAGCTTGGTCCTGAAAACCCTAGTCTATAATCGCAGTTGTGGTTGTTCGGCAAACTATGGCAAGTTCCATTATTCGAGCAGGGACTGTAGTGACAATGATCAAAGGCTATTGATAAAATAATTTTTTTTTTTTGAAACAGTTTAAAAACAGTGGTTCGGCATTTCGTCTCAATTAGGGTTTTTGAAAAACGAAAATAATGGATCCTTATCTCCAATTCCTGAAAACACAGAGTAGAAGCGGCAAAATTGAGCACTTGACTTAGAGAAAATTTTGTTGTATTGGTGTTTTAAGAACTCTCTAACTAACAAACCTTCACAGCTCTCCCCTTTGTAACTTGGAGGACACAAACAAGTGTAGTTGACTGAATTACTGTGACATGTTCCATTATTTTGGCATGGTTTGTCGAAGCAGTTATCTTTGGCTGCAAGTACAAGAAATAGATAATGGAGACTTATCAGTCGTGATAATGATACGAGCGATTAGGCAGAAAGACAGGAAAATTTCCTAACTTTGCACGCCTTTAGCCGCATTTTACACCGACCAGTTTTCTTAGAAAGTTTTCCTTGGCAAGTTTCCCTGCCATAGAGTAGGAAGAAAATCAGAGGGAGGAGAAGAATAAGGTAGAGGCCTCCCTCGCATCAAGTCTATCTTTTGTGGTACTCACTTTCACAGCTTGATCCTGAAAACCCTGATACACAATCGCAGGTGTAGTTGTATGGAAAATTATGGCAGGTTCCATTATTTAAGCAGGGACCATAGTGACAATGATCCACAACTAAAAATAAAAAAGTATGCGCACTTTTTATAACTCACAAGCACATAAAAATCGTTTTTAAACCAGAGATTTTGAATATGATATTTTTTAGGAGTTACGGGTTTTCGAAATTTAATACTTAAAAATTTAAAGCAAAGTATATTTATTTTAAATTCGTCAAGTAAGATAACTTTCTATTACGAACCTTCGCAACTGTGCCCAGTGTAGTTTGGAGGACAGGAACACGTGTAGTTGTCAGGATTACTGTGACATGTTCCTTTATTCTGACAAGGATTGTCGAAGCAGTTGTCTTTGGCTGCAAGTGTAAGAAAGAGTTAACTGACTCCTATCAAAGGGACACAAGAGGGTTACTGAGAAGGACAATGAAGCTTGGTCGGACGCAACACAAACAAATAGACTAAACTAATATCGAGATCCTTTAGGACGGCTCTAGACAAAAACTAGTCTAGAGAGCCTTCGGAACGGTCCTCTAAAACACTGTGCTACTGACCTGTGACACTATAAACTGACTACTAATTGCGGACAAGATTATTCGATAAAGAGTGTCACCAGATCACATACGTTATGCGACAACAACAAAGGCTACTACGTAATTGTCTTTGTTATTACAAGTTTTCAAGTTGAAACCTTCCGCCCAGTCTTTTATAAACAAAGTATTTTCAACAAAGCTTCTAAACTTAAATATCTCCAAGTTGCATTTTCTTGAAATGTTTATCCCATACATTTCCTTTGCTGACGAGGAGGAAAGAGCACG